ACTAGGGGCTCCTGGCCTCACCACTAGAAACAAGGACGCTACTAGGGACTCTACTAGGGGCTCCTGGCCTTACTACTAGAAACAAGGACGCTACTAGTAACAAAGGGCATCGCTACCAATGAACAACCGCAAGTCTCACCTCTTTGCCCCTGCCGCCTGCCACTGAACCCCCTGCCCCGTTGGGCATAAGCCCCATAAATCCTATCCCCTCTTGCGGGCAGAAACAAAGGCAAGCAGTTGACCCTTTGGTGAGCCTCACCCGGACCCGGCTGCCACTGCGAAGAGCTACGGACTTCTCGGCATTTTTACTGAATGCGTGGCTGTGAAAGGCAGCCACACTGAAACTTTTGAACTGAAAGCCATCCGAGATAAAGCAACCTAGTGATGTTTGATGTGTTTTGCAAAGCGCTTTCGGACCGTTCCATTTAGCCCAACCTGAATATGAATGTTTAGAGTCACTAACGGCTTGGCTCAGTGACGCGACAAAGAAACAGAATCTCACTACTTCTTTTCAGGAGGACCCACCAATGGGGGCTGATTTCTGTGGGGATGTTGTTGAGGAAGCCTGGAAAACCAACCCAATTAACAATCAAGTGCACGGCGAGTCACAGGCTACGCCGTTGGCATATCGCAGGAGGGAGAAAGGTGCAACCACAAATCACGCTTGCTGTCTCTTTGGAAAAAAATAGAAGACATGTTTACTTTGCAGCGTACGGTACTAGCGCCGTTTTCCAAACATCAAAACTTGATGTGCTTTGACTTTGGTGTGTCTTGCCCTGGAAGAACATAGGCATCGCTGCTAGGAACAAGGACGCTACTAGGAGCAAAGGGCATCGCTACTGCTACTAGTAGCAATGACACTGAGACTACGTGACTCAGGCGATGTAGCCCAACACCTCTGCGTCAGGAACCTCGGGCAAACGAGTGAAGCCTTTGGATCGTTGCGATGCTGTGCTTTGCCGAAGGAGAAATGGTCTCCAACCTAGTTTCTTGCTCCTAGTAGCGAGGCCAGGAGCCCCTAGTAGCTTCTTGCTCCTAGTAGTAAGGCCAGGAGCCCCTAGTAGCGTCCTTTGCTCCTAGTAGCGATGCCCTTTGCTCCTAGTAGCGTCCTAGTCGCTCCAAAGTTCGACCTTTTCACTCCAAGGCCTCGCAGCCGTCATCGTCTCTTCCTTCGGCCCCTGTAGCTCCAGTCCCTGCTGCGACCTCTTCTGCGGGATCGGGATCTCAATATTAACGGAGCCCGCGGCCGGCGTTGATGCTCAAACTCATTTAGTAAATACTCGAAAAAGCGGGAAAAGTTGTCAATCTTGGACCTGTATGCTTCAACCCTTCGTCTAACATATTGTTGTGCCTCTGTGTCTGTTTTTTGTAGTCTGCTCCATGCTCTGTCATCAAGCATGCGCCTGTAGTTGCGCATCCACCGTTGCAAATCTGAACGGGTGTCCAGCTGGATGTTTCTGGCTCTTGGCCTGCCTGGATCTGTCAGATCCAAGTCAAAGGTGACACACTGGTTGGTCTTCAGATCCTGCCTTTCGTCATCAAACGTTGGCATTGGATTTATCCTCGATCCTTCATGCGTACATTCAATCTTGCCAGTATACCCTCTTCCACTTCGTCTTGAGGAATGTACGATGCCTACCGTCCGCACCCGTGGCGAAGGCACAGCGGCTGGAGGATTTGGCACGGAATGGGATGCAGGTTGTGGCATTTCTGGGAGGTCGCTGTTGCTATCCTGCTCAGCAATGATGTTGGGATATGAATCCAAAATGCGCTGCCTCTCGGCTGCAAACTTGGGGCAGTTCCACTTCGATCCATCACATGTATCTTCACATTGCTTCACTCTCTCAAAGTCACATCGCCACTCTTTGTAAGTATGAGCACTGAAGCAGTTTCTGTTGAGCAGCTCACCACAGCGCCACTGTTTCCTTTTGGCATCCTCTACATCTCTGGGCATGTTGTCCTCTTGGTAGAGATGCGAACATAGGCTGGTCTTGTTCTGGGCATCCGCCACAGGTACCTCAGCAGCAGCTTCTTCCTGCGCCACCTCTGCAACAGGATACGGGGTTCTTACTCCGTCAAGGTCAACCTCGGCCTCATCGTCAATAGTTGCCGCCTCAACGGCCCCCACCCAACCACAAACTGCGTGCCTAAGCAACTCTTTTCGTCTTTGCTTGACATCCTTTGTGCTCCACTCATCCCGAGTCTGCCCGTCCCGAGCGGCAATCCGCTTGGACAAACCAAAGCCAGATCTTTCAAGCATTCTTTTTTTCTGTAAAAATGTGGAGCCGGTAAAAGCATTCCTCTCTTCTGGCACAAGCAAACAGTAGTTGCCAAGATTGTCTACCATGTTTTTGTGGTCATCTGCGGCCCAAGCATCCTGGTCACCCAGATTAGATTCTGGGTGTATATGCTCCAAAGCGATGGGCCCATGCGTTCGATCAACGCAAGCAAACCCACGAGGGCACCCACCACGAAGGTTTGATGGCAACCAGCCAGACAGCTTTGTGTAGAGCTCGGATTCATCTGGCGTGGTCACACACTCTGCCTTGAGCAACAAATACGTGGCCCGCACCTTGTAGAAAGCTTTGGCGCTCTCAGTGCTGAATTTCACAGTCTGGCTGAAGCAATCGACTACACCCTCTTGTAGGCTGTGGCGGCAGTCTACAAACTTCTTCCGCATCCATTCAAGGATGCTTGTGGGATTGTCCTCTTTGTAGATGACGCCGATGAGCTCTCGGTAGTGCTTCATGTAGCGGCAAAACACTTGTTCCGCATCAGTCTTGGAATGGCCTGGGCGCCCAAACATGGCCTTTCCATTCCCACGCTTGCAGAAGGCATTGTAGGCTACAAAGCCCTTCTCAAGCAAGTCAAAAAACTCTGCCGCAGCATTCAAGTGGTCACTGCTTTGCATGCAGCGAAACTTGACCACAAAAAAGAATGCAGGAGCTACCCAATCCATATCCAAGCCCGTGTGCGCAACATGTTTGAGCAAGGTCACTGTATTTTGAATGCGCTTGCTGCTTGTCTGGCCCAAGTAATGTCCTTGCGCCCACCTGTGATCATCCACCCTCAGGAAACCTAAGAAGCACACCACTGAGTCAGTGTTCATCCATTTGCTGAAGAACAGATCCACGGCGTTCTCATCCAGCTTGGTTGGATTCTTCACATCAAACAGCTTGCGACGGACTCTGTCTTGTTCATCTTCAACAATAAAGCGTCGCTTTATGTGCTCTATCAGTGTGCATTGGTAGGGCTCGTCCTCAAAATTGTCTTGCGTGGGAGACTTGGCGAAATCCTCCATGCTGTTTTTTTCCAACTTTCCACTGGGGCGCGGTGTCAGCTCGACAATCACATGCATGTAGTATGCAAAGAGATCAAGCTCGTCTCTTGTTGTCCCTCGAAACTCTGATGCACAGTTCTCCCATTGGGCGTACTTGTCTGTCTGGTGCTCATTTGTTGGAGCTTGAAGCATGGCTTTCAAAATCTCCATCTCAGTAGCGGTTTCAGCGTGATCTCTTTGGTTGTTGATGGATCGGTACATCTGCATAGCTTTCGTTTTGGACTCAACCGAGATGAGGGCCACATGCAAGTTGGCTACCATGAATTTTGCGAATGCTTGGATTTTGTTTGCACATCCAAATTTCTTGCACCTCTCCGTCTTGTCCAAATAGAGTTCCCGATAGTGGGTGGGTATCCATGTTTGGTAGTCTTTGGAATCCAAGTTGCCGGACTGGACCATGCCCCGGTCATCTGGGAGACCAAAATGGTTGCACATAAAGAAGAGAGCTGCCCTGAAGACATTCACAAACTTCTTCTCTTGATCATTAGGTGGGTCATGGCAAATAAGCTCCTTGAGCTCATCCCAATCAGTCTCATACCCGATTTTCTTTGCAAAGAACCTCTCGAAAAAGCCATCTACTGTACTCCTCGCGGCAAACTTCAAACGCCGAGTTCTAGAGCGCCCTTTTCTGGGGAAGGCCAGCTCTCCATTTGCAATGTCCACCACGTTCGAACATGTTCTTTCGTGATCTTCTTCATGGTGACTGCACCAAAAGAACATGGCTCTGAAAAAGATCCAAAGCGTCACCAACCGCTGCTGTCCGTCCACCACATAGCGGACAAACTCATCAGCGTTGTCTTTGTAGGTTATGATGGACCCAAGGTGGTACCCATCATCTACTTCTGCACATGAATTGGTGGCAAAATGGTCATAGCAGTCAAGCCACAGGCGTAGTGCCATCTCCGTCTTCCATCTATAAGCCCGCTGGAAAGGTGCAATCACGTATGTGGCCTCATGCAAGAGCTCGTTCCAATTTTTAGGCTTCTCCATGGCACGAAATCGGACTCACGTCTTTGCATGTGAAAATATATTGTTTCTACTAGTAACAAGTGCCACGCTAGTAGTAACAGGTGCCTTACTAGTAGTAACAAGAAACTATTAGAATTAAATTAAGATAAAATAAATTCAAATTATGCTTTAAAAGAAATTGTCTTTCTTTTCGGTCGTCTTTGTCATGTGCTTCGTTGTGGTTGTTTGTCGTTCTGCGGCGCATTCGGTGCGGCTATCTTCGAGCCCTCTCAGCTGAACTCATGAAATGAGCTTCCATCTTCCGAAACTGTCTCAACGTCGCAAAAAACATCAAACAAGGAAACAAGGTCACGGAAAGCACGGACTGAGTCACAGACTTCAAGAAGCTTTGCGCCTAAGCATGATTTAAAAAGAAAAAGATGCGTTCGCCAAAACGCCTTCTTTAAGTCTCCATCTTGATCCACCCAACTACCGCCAAGCAATGGGGAAACACGAGACACGTCCCATTGTCACCAGCGGAAACAAGTATGCTAAAAGTGATACAATAGGCGCAGAAAAACGCCAAGAAGACCCATCCAGTGTTACAAAACGAAGGGGCAAATGGTGATGGGGCACACAAGGGCATATGCGTCACTGCAAGTCATGCTGCCACCTTTCTTCCGGCCTCCACCCTACTAGCGATGGCCTCCGACCCGAATATCCAAGGCTCCTGCCAGACCAATGGGCTCTGAAACTATTCAATTCCCATTGCCCATTGCTCAGAGCCAATGCAAGACCCCTCGGGGTTGGTGTTGCTAGAGTGACACGGACGCTGCCAGCACGATCATGATAAAGATTCATGGCAAATTGCCTCCTGTTTGAGATGTCTGCAACTGCACATTGTCTGAACATAAATGAAACATCATGAAACTCAAAACTCGCAAAACGACTTGCTCCGCTGATTTTACAGAAGACACTTCGCTTGATCAGCTGTCAAAACAGCTGGGCATACCATTTATAACTAATTACTCTAGCGCTTGTTCGGATGTTGTTCCCGAACAAACCTGATTGAACATAACTGGTTTGTGAAGGTGAGTAATGTGATGCATTAGCGAACATGCGTTCTCTTCATTGGCTCTCAAAGCAGTTTTGTGCATATCTTGCAAAGGTCTTCATCGGCAGGTAGACGTCTTCTTGCTTCTCTTCTGCTTCTTGCACCCTTTTGATTACCCAGTTTGCATAGTCCTGGGGCTTGCAAACTGCAAAAAAAACACATAGACATGAGTAAAAGATTTAAAGTTAAGTTTCCCAAAAGAATCCAAATGAATAGTGCGGGGGCTTTCCGTCGAAGCTCACCTCCCGCTCCACCCCACCTTTCTATGCTAAAAAGTAAAGGCTTTCCCACGCACTGTGCAGCCAAAAAGCAGGGTCATTCTGTATGACTGACTCTCGGGTCTCCGCTTTGTGCTTCCCAAAGCCCATTTGCTTCGTATCTTCGTTGTTCAAATCACTGTTGTGACCAAGGAGCCATTCTGCGGCCTCCGCCAAGGCTGGGGAGGGCACGGAATCTCCGGATTGGAAAGCGTCCACTATGAAGACGCAGTAGGCTGGATCCTGAGCAAAGAAAAGACTATACTATGGGATGGCCTCCAACCTAAGAGTCGTTATTCAACGGTAAGGCTACGATTTCTGGTCAACATATTCATGTCCACTAACGTCCATGTTGGGCTGGCATAACCACCGGTCACTTGGGTTATTGCATTGGTGTTTTCTTCTGCCTGGTACAGCCAATGTTGCGTCGGCGAAAAGATTTACTTATATGTATACCAGCTAATAGTGTAAGCAACCTGCCAATGATTGAAACCTTTATGATCTTGACAGATCTACAAACAGACATGGAATATATCGAATCGAATACCCTTCCGAATCAGTCAATGACAGTGAGTCATGTCTTGCTTGGGGAAACTGCAAGGTTCCTTGAAGAGCTGCCTGCTACCGTATCATATCTGCGGATATAACAAGAAGCTATTAGAAACAATAAGCTACTAGTAACAAGTGCATCGCTACTAGTAACAAGTGCCTTACTAGTAGTAACAAGAAGCTATTAGAAACAATAATTAAAGTAATTAGATTAGATTCTAATTACTTTAAGGATCGATCTAACTATAATTAGATTAAACCTTTCGTCCTTCAATGTTTTCCTTTGTTTCTGATAGCGGTGGCCTCCACCCTTGGTAGCAATGGCCTCCACCATACTAGTGATGGCCTTCAGCCTACTAGCATTGTGATGACAAAGAAGCAAAATGTCTAAAGAAAGAAAGACAAAATAATGTGATGCAGTGATGTCTGAGACATGATCGTTCAAGGGATTTCTGCAGCAATCTCTGACCACATGTGAGAGCACACCCAAGTGAGCACACTTAGGAGGGAACACCTGTGAAAGCACATATGAGCACGCTAAGAGAACATCAAGTGATGTGCCTGCCATGAAATTATTACTTTGACATCGACAAAGTGCTGCACCTGTAAAGAAATCTGCACCTTGAAGGTGCTGCGCCTGCTGCGAAAGCTACACTTCGATGCCCACAAAGTGGGGACCGCAACAAGAACTATGTTGTGTCTGCGCAGCCCTGTGCCCATCCATTGTTGAATCCCCCAAGCAACAAAGCTCACGCAGTGCCTCATCTTCAAACGCATGCGTCATGGGCGCAGAACTGTTGGCAAAGGGCGCGGTACCGTCAGTTGACAACAGCAGTATATACAACAATAGTGGCAGAAGCCTGAGACATGAAGCCGCTACGACCCTGTCATTTTCTTAAGACTCGAAGCTCCAGAACCTCGACAACAGAATGGAACGACAGCGCTGGAACTTCTCACGTGGCGGAGAATCACACAATTTGCACCAACTTGCAGTGGCTCTCTCTTTCAACTCTCTCTCTCTCTCTTTCTTTCTTGGTGTCATTATCTATTTGTTCTTTCTTTCGCTCGTTCTTTCTTTATTGGTTTCATTCTCTCTCTCTTTTTTTCTTTCTCTCGTCCGTTCTTTCGTTCTTTATTTATTTAAGCCTTTCTGTCTTTTTGTTATTTCTTTATTTCTTTCAACTCTCTTTCTTTCTTTGTTTATTTATGTATTTCTTTCTTTCTTTCTTTCTTCCTTCCTTTCTTTCTTTCTTTCTTTCTTTCTCTCTTTCTTTCTTGGTTTCATTCTTTATGTTTTCTTTCTTTCGATCGTTCTTTCTTCCTTTCTTTCTTTCCTTCCTTTCTTTTCACTCTCTCTTTTTTTCTTCTTTTGTTCTTTATTTCGTTCTGTATTTCTTTCTTCCTTTCTTTCTTGTTTCTTTCTTTCTTCCTTTGAACTATCTTTCTTTATTTCTTTCTTTCTTTCTTTATTGTTTTATTTATTTATTTCTTTCTTTCTTGGTTTCATTGTTCCGTTCTTTCTTTATTTATTTACTTATTTCTTTCTTGGTTTCATTCAATGCTTTTTTCTTTCCGTCGTGCGTTCTTTATTCCTTCTTTCTTTCTTTCTTTCTTTCAACTCTCTGTCGTTAACTCTTTTTTTCACTCTCTCTCTCTCTTCTTTTCTTTATTTCTTTCTTTCTTTCTGAATTCATTTCTTTCAACTCTCTTTCTTTCTTTCTTTATTGGTTTCATTATTTATTTTTTCTTTCTTCGTTCGTTTCTTGTTTCTTTTCTTTCGTGCTTTCTTTCGTTCTTCCTTTCTTTCTTTCTGTCAACTCTCTTTCTGTCTTTCTTTCTTTCGTTCTTTCTTTCTGTCTGTTCGTTATTTCTGTCGTTCTATATTGTGTTCGTTCTTTCTTTCTTTCAACTCTCTTTCTTTCTTTCTGTCTGTCTTTCTTTCTTTCTTTGACTCTTTGTATCTTTCTTTCGTTCTTTCTTTATTTATTTATTTCTTTCTTTATTGGTTTCGTTCTTCTTTCTTTAAACTATCTTTCTTTCTTTCTTTCTTTCTTTATTTTGTTCTTTCTTTCTGTATTTGTTTCTTTCA